CCCATATGTAACTCTGTGTTGTTGTTTTTATCGCACTGCTTTGCTTTATCTTGGCCAGGTCGCAGTTGTAAATGAGAACTTGTCCTCAACTGGCTTACCTGGTTAAATAAAGGTAAAAAAAAAAAAAAAAAAAAAAATTGGTATTGATGTTAATCCCCTGTTTTTTTATCCTAAAATTAGCAAAATGAAGATTAATATAATAATAAACAAATATAGTCCGTTGAATATGGAATAAATGAGTGTTCAGGCTTTTACGACCACATGGACTACTATGTGTAACGTAATCTAAAGGCAGGAAGACATGCCCAGTTCCAGAACCTCGCCTCTCCAGACTGGGGAGCACACTGGCACATGGTGGTTCTGTAATCTTTTTGAGAGAAACTAGTAGTGGTACAGTAACAACAATGGGCTGTCCGGGAAGACTACAACTCCCAGACTACAACTTCAAGCTTATTTCTCACACCTGTCCAGTTGTTGGCTGTAGATAGGGCAAGTCAGGCCATCAGAACCATGAGTCAGTCTGGGTATCCCCTTTAGCCAGCATTCCCTTCATGACCTGCCAGGAAGGGGATGCCTGGAAAACTATAACCCACCCAGCACCTACTGTGCCTGGGTTACTGCTGCTGCTATATCAGCCTCTTCCATCTCATCCAGGAGTGCTAAGGAGGACCACCAAGGCCCTCTTTCATGCAGTCGTCTCCAACCTTGGTCCTGGAGAGCTACTGGGTGTGCAGGCTTGTGTTCCAGCCCAGCAATGACACACCTGATTCAGCTCTGAGGCAGAGGAACTTAGTGATGCCCAGTGCACTGCCTGTAAAGGGGACTAGATAGACAGACTACAGATACGGATATTTACAGTAACACATTCATAAGCAATGTTGAACACTGTGATAAGCTCAAAGCACAAACAGACTGGACAACCAGGCATATTGCCCTTTAGCCTCTGCATTTCAGGACCAGTACTAGACATGTCCCAAGCCAGGCTCTTCCACAAAATATAATACATTTTACATTGGTAGGATATTCAAACATGTTAACGGTAATACAAATAGTTGACACAAGGATACAAAGGCGACAAACCGCTCACGTTATTATACAGAGTCAAAGATAGTTAGGCTTGTGATAACATTTCCATAATTTTCCATAGTAAGAAAAGGACTATAGGGCCAACTGCTTTTAGGCATACTATGTTTGTGAAAGCTAGTTGGTCATCTAGCACCATGTCTTTTACACGCCTGACACGCTGACTAATATGTAATGTGGACTAATATCATCAAAGAGTTACTAAATGATCTCTGTATACTATTTATCATCATTATTGTCATCATCCTCATCATCCTCCTAAACTCTGTCAACAACCCACAGCTCTCACATTGCTGGTTGTGGTTGTTCCCAGCCAAGAACAGTAAGTTATCTCATGGTTGCTCTCTATATGGCCAGTTAGGAGCAGGCCCCAATCTTGTACAGTATTAGGTTACAAAAATATAAGCTGTATACCAATGGGGGGGGGGTTAAGGAAAATATAAAATGATGGAGTGAGAGAGCGAGAGAGCGAGAGAGAGAGCGAGAGAGAGAGAGAGAGAGAGAGAGAGAGAGAGAGAGAGAGAGAGAGAGAGAGAGAGAGAGAGAGAGAGAGAGAGAGGAGCAAAAACAGCTCTGTTCACCAGACATTGGGGCGGGGAGGGAGTGTGGCTCCTGGCTTTCACTATTGCCGACAATGGAAGAAAGAGGGGCATGATCTGTTCGACAAACATTTTAGACTATATACTCAGCAATTACACACATATAAAATAATATATTTGACATTTTTACGCATTAATGATGACTGATACAGCAGTTGTTTGTCCTGTGTCACGTTATCCACAATAGCGAATACAACATATCCTATTTCCATCCATCTCATACCACGAAATGCATCATTGGAATCAATAACTGAGTGTTGGCAGCTAGGCAGAAAGAATGAAAGGAACGAAAACCAATCAAACATGCCTTTAATCGCATCCCCGACGGTGTTTCAGTGCTAAAAATGACGCGTTTGGAGATGATAGCGATAGGCATAAGTGTACCTCCATTTCGGAACGTATGGAAGGAAAAAGACGATTCGATAAAACACACACACACACACACACACACACACAGCCCCTGACAACTACTACATTCGTATAAACGAATAGCCTCGACGCACTACCTGTATTTGTCCATGATTTTGAGACATGCCTATGTTCATAAAAACATCCGCAGTTTGCATTAAGATATCTCGATGGTTAACTCTCATCATGGCATAGGCTATATAGGCTACTCGGTTTATGGTGAACAGAAATACACAGAACGGTTTCGAAAAATGCATGTCACACATTTTGGATACAATTTAGTCCAGAGACAAACAAGAGACAAGAATGGTGATCAGAATATTCTTGGAATTGGTTGCTCCATTAAGGTAACATATAGTCTACGATTTATTAGTTTATTATAGGCTTATAAAAAACTAGGCAATGCATATAACGGCTACATATGCCGTTATATGCAGACAACATTATCTTTATCTCTCTCTCTCGCTATCTCACTCTGTCTCTCTATCTCTAGGTATCACCTCACCTAACTATGCAAACGCAAAAGGGAGCGAGCGCGCGCGCCCTAAATAAATCGTGGTGTGTGTTGCTAACGCACCTGTCAATGCCTGACATTCCGAGCATTGCATCGTTTATTTTATTTATTTCCCTCCCTCAAAAACGCTTTCCCCCTCCCTTCCTGGCAATACAATAAACATAACTGGTTATCGGCTACACACAAACGCGCACACATTTTCATATTTTCTCATTTCATGCCATAAAAAATTGGGTTGCGAGGAGTGGTGGAAGTTCCATCCTTACCACATTCATCACGCGATATCCATATTGTTCAAATCTGACGTTAAATATTCTTCGGGTCCATCTCCGCTGATTTTTCCTTGGTGCCTGTGCCCCTTTCAAAAACCCGGATATATGGTCCCCCCCGTCTCTCTCCTTTCCACAAACGGCATAAGGGAGCGGGGAGCGACGCTACACCACCTTACCATAGCATCCCCCTCTGTCGGATTGGAAGGTAATGGGTCTTAAAGAAACATTCTCTCAGCATTCTCCGCATCTCTCTGTGATTTGCGCGGGCACGCACGCACGCACGCACACACACACACACACACGGGCCAAACAAACACCTGATTAATTATAGTCTACAGTAAATGGCTATGAGAGACAGCTAGGCCATGTTGACAGACAAACTTAACCATCATACATGGACCACACCATGCATAATGGGGTCTTATGACAGCCATAATATGATAAGAACCTAACAAACGATAGTGAACATGGTGTGCATTATGCTAGTTAGCATATGGCTAGCCTATCATGCATCCATATATATAGCTCTTCTTAGCCACATATCACCTATGTGGGCACATGTTCTGGTGGTGCACGTGTGCAAGATTTAACTAGATTAATATCATGTTGACTGCACCAGATAAGACCTTTTTGTGATGGTGATACTGGATCAGAATTAGGCCACAGGACCGAGGAGGCAAGTGCAGTGCAAACATCAAAAGCTATAGGCTACTTATACAAACAACTATTTTAGTTTTTAAAATAGGCCATGATATTTGTATTTTCACTCACTGCACTAGAGTGAATATGTAACAGAATGTACACTTCTAAATAGTTGTACACTTCTAAATAGTTGTTTGTGTCTTGATCTGACTGGCCAGTTCTTTGCATAGCAATGAAATTAGATGACACATATTTATGTTACTAATATTATGCAGGAGTAAGTATTTTTTCTTTTAAGACATACATGACACAAAAGTATGTGAAACTATCCATTCCGTGCTAAGTATGGTAAGAAAACCAATACAGTCAATACAATATGACAAGAATGCTATTATATGTTTATTACATCAATAAGTCTGCAGTCTGTACATTTAATTCTCATGTTGTATTATGAATATGTTGATGTGTGAGTAGAACCATATACCATGTATATACAGTATACTAGCCTATATTCAATTTCATTGCATGTTCTTTAAAATAAATAAACAAACAAGACATTGTTTGAAATATACATTTATGAAGATATTGATAGCATATCTCAGGTAAACAGATAAGCTGGGTTGAGTTTGGCACGGTCAAAACAGAAGGTAGGGCTGTCTTTAAGAGCGAGGAAGCCCAGCAAGAGGTGATGTAATGTGTTCTCAGACAATGATGTCATCGACTGAGACGCAGCAAGGATTTAAAGTGACAAAGGCATTATTAAAAACCCAGTGCAATTCTGCGTTAGGCCTGGTCAGAGAACAGTTAAACAGAGGAGTAGGAGTCTAGAGGACCAGTGTTGAGGGAAAGAAAGCGCTATTGATGAAACGAGGGCAAATATACATGCATTACTCCCACATATCTGTCATATATATTCTTAATATCATAATAATACAGCCTTAGTAGAACATACGGTAATGTGTTTGTTAATTAGGACATTTGAGATACAGAACGTGATCACAATTCATGTTATATAGTGAGAACAATAATAAGTGTTATTGGTGAACAATGAACAACCATCCAACTGTGATACATAGGAGTGTATTTGCTCAGTGTTAGATATGTAAACTAGGTGGAATAACTGTGTAACCTCAGCTGTTTTACATGTACTGTGCATTAGTTTATTGCTAGTACTGTACCCTACATTGTATTCATACAGCATATGATGACAATATATACGTATATACAGGTCTTATGGTGAATTCCATTTTCTGTTGGTAGCATATCCTGATCATCGATTTCTTTTCTGATCATAGATTTTTCCAGGACATAACATTTAAAATAACTTTAGATGTTTAATTGTTTAATTGGTAAACATCGTCATCTTTCTACTTTCCCAGATATCTCTCTTCTCTTCGCCTCAATACACTTTTTCTCTCTATCACTGTCATACTCCCGTCCCCCATCTTCCTCACTCCTCCAGTCTCTATTGTACTACATCTTCCTTGTCATCCTCCATTTTTGTAGTCCCTCTATAAACTTGTCCGCAGTACTGTTACTCTCCCTCTTCCAAATAAGGCACTTCGATCCACCCTTCCACCCTCGTATAGGCCTAGTGAATTGGTTTTGGATAGGCTACCGCTTTTTTGGACCGCGTCTTTTCTCTCTCCACCTAAACTGCTATTGGCCATGTTCAACTCTGCAGTTCCCTCCTGTTGTACCTTCATATCTACTGTCTCAACTGTTCCACAATTCCCTTCTCCTGTTTCTGCCCTTCCACACATATCTATAAAGGGAGCCTGTTCTGATTCAGGATGATTAGACGATTCGGGATTAGGTTTCCTCGATTCCTGACTTTCCATGATTTTCCCTTGACTCTCCTGACTTGGTTCCTCTGTTGCTTTGGGCAAAAAGTCATTGTCCGGTATCTCTTCATAGATGCATAGGTCATGTCCTGGTTTGGTAGAGACGCATGATGTTTGATTAGCAGATAGTGTTAGTTGTCTGTTCCGGTCCTTAGATGTTAAGTCTTGCTGCTCATTGGTTGTAGTGATGTCTCCACTATCGTCTGTGGCTGTACCATGACTTACCACTGTGTAGGTCACTTCATCTGCTGTTGAAATCTCATTGGTTGCCCCCTCCATCTCTTCTCCCTGATTGGATACTGATTGGCCATCAGTCATTGTAATGTCCGTGTCTGACAGATTGATGTCACTTGTGATTTTATAGAAGAGTGAATGATTTTCCAACATTTTCTCTAAACTTTCACTGACAGAAAATGTGTCACCATTGGAATCAGTTCCTGCATCATGAGATGTTGGATCATTGTCCACATTCACGGTTTCCTCATGGCACAATGACTCTATTCCGTGGTCGCGTAAAGGTATGAACTCTCGCCACTGATTGGTTGAGAGGAACCATTCTGCTTTCAGATTGGTGGACAGAGAATTGCTTTCACTGTGATTGGATGAGAGTGCCTCTTGGTCCTCTTCCTTCTCTTTGTCCTCACACCTCCTCTTGAATTGCTTGCCTTCATCAGTTTGGTATACAGTTATCGAGGAGATCTTATTTTTACGTTTCATGATACCCTTTCTGTCACCGTGACCTTTGGGTTGTGTTTTGTTCCCAATATGACCCTCATGAACTTTTATAAGTCCCTTTCCCTCATCTTCATAAAGAGGTGTCTCTCCAGGGGTCTGAGGTTCTACTGTCCTGTAACTACGTAGAACCATCCCGTCACTATGGCACCAGCCTCCGCAGACATCCTCATAAGGTCCAGAAACTGAAAAACAATAAACATTTCTGGAATTGGTGTGATTCTCTGAATGTAGTATAGTGTAGACTGTATAGTTACCGAGAGCAATGTAGTAGAAAGAGCAAACTTTCAGCATACATTTCTCAAAATAACTATCACATCAACCCATCATGAGTGTTTGTACTTAAGCATTATGAGTACCTGGCATCTCCCGGCTCTTTCTGATCTTGTCATAGGTCTTCTGTGTAGAAGGGGTGTTGTGGAGCTCCTGTCTCTCCTCCCTGGTCAGTGGATGGCCGGGCACCACGGCACTCTCTCTGACTGCACTAAGTGAGAGAGGGGAGGAGATGCAGAGGGAGAGAGAGAGAGGGGGGCGGGGGGGGGGGGGGGGGGGTTGAGAGAGAGGCATAGGGAGGCAGAGGGACAGAAAGAGGAGGTGGAAGGAAAGCCCTGAGATTAAAGCTAGATTTGTAGATGCATGCAAGCTCATAAGAAAACACATGACAAGAATATATAGCAACACAGTGACAGGTATACACAATCTATCAGTGGAGGCTGGTGGGAGGAGCTACAGTGGGGAAAAAAAGTATTTAGTCAGCCACCAATTGTGCAAGTTCTCCCACTTAAAAAGATGAGAGAGGCCTGTAATTTTCATCATAGGTACACGTCAACTATGACAGACAAAATGAGAATTTTTTTTCCAGAAAATCACATTGTAGGATTTTTAATTAATTTATTTGCAAATTATGGTGGAAAATAAGTATTTGGTCACCTACAAACAAGCAAGATTTCTGGCTCTCACAGACCTGTAACTTCTTCTTTAAGAGGCTCCTCTGTCCTCCACTCGTTACCTGTATTAATGGCACCTGTTTGAACTTGTTATCAGTATAAAAGACACCTGTCCACAACCTCAAACAGTCACACTCCAAACTCCACTATGGCCAAGACCAAAGAGCTGTCAAAGGACACCAGAAACAAAATTGTAGACCTGCACCAGGCTGGGAAGACTGAAAATATGAGAGAGGCCTGTAATTTTCATCATAGGTACACGTCAACTAAGACAGAGAAAATGAGGGAAAAAAATCCCGAAAATCACATTGTAGGATTTTTTATGAATTTATTTGCAAATTATGGTGGAAAATAAGTATTTGGTCAATAACAAAAGTTTCTCAATACTTTGTTATATACCCTTTGTTGGCAATGACACAGGTCAAACGTTTTCTGTAAGTCTGGGTCTTTCAGCATGACAGTGATCCCAAACACACCGCCCGGGCAACGAAGGAGTGGCTTCGTAAGAAGTATTTCAAGGTCCTGGAGTGGCCTAGCCAGTCTCCAGATCTCAACCCCATAGAAAATCTTTGGCGGGAGTTGAAAGTCCGTATTGCCCAGCGACAGCCCCAAAACATCACTGCTCTAGAGGAGATCTGCATGGAGGAATGGGCCAAAATACCAGCAACAGTGTGTGAAAACCTTGTGAAGACTTACAGAAAACGTTTGACCTGTGTCATTGCCAACAAAGGGTATATAACAAAGTATTGAGAAACTTTTGTTATTGACCAAATACTTATTTTCCACCATAATTTGCAAATAAATTCATAAAAAATCCTACAATGTGATTTTCGGGATTTTTTTCCCTCATTTTCTCTGTCTTAGTTGACGTGTACCTATGATGAAAATTACAGGCCTCTCTCATATTTTTAAGTGGGAGAACTTGCACAATTGGTGGCTGACTAAATACTTTTTTTCCCCACTGTATAGGAGGACGGGCTCATTGTAATGGCTGGAACGGAGTCAAATGTGGCATCCATATGTTTAATGTGTTTAATACCGTTACATGTATTCCATTGCAGCCATTACAATGACCCCGTCCTCCCATAGCTGCCCCCACCAGCCTCCACTGCAATATATATATGTACAGTATAATATATAGAGTAATTGATATCCCTTCTAGTAAGTGTCTCTCTACATAGTGAAACACTGAGCTGAAGGGATTCATCATGAACCAGCTTTCTGACTGATAAACCCCCCCCCCCCCCCACACACACACACACACACACACAGAATGAACCCCACCTCCGGATGACTCTCTCTGTGATCCTCTCCACACGTCTCAGTTTGGCCTCTCTCTGCTCAGGGGTGAGGCAGAGGTCAGGGTCTGGGGCAGATGTTAGGAGAGTGTTGTGTCCCTCAACCTGTGACATGAAAGCCACAATCCTGAGTCTTTGTCTGTGTTTCATGAGGCATTCATAAGTTATATTCTTTAGGAATCAATGGGTGTATATCATTACTTGAAATTGCAGTTGAACAGAAGGAAATCTTCCAGATTGTGACTTTGAGATATGTGGCATGCTTAACTGTACAATAGAAAAAGGTGAAACTGTCGTTAGGGATGACCTAATGTCACACACAGGAGGCTGCTGAGGGGAGGACGGCTCATAATAATGGCCAGAATGGAGCGAATGGAATGCCATCAAACACCTAGAAACCATGTGCTTGATGTATTGATACTATCCTAAGTGCCAAGTGCCACTAACCTCCTGTGGTATCACAGTTGATTGGCGATCACTGGCTAATTAGCTTGTAAAAAGCCTTCAGTAGAATATGTTATATAACTGAAATTAGAGATGAGAAGAAATTAACTGTACTCATCTCACCTTCTCTTCCTCCCTCTGACATCCTCCCAACACTTCTCTTGTAGTGTCATGACCCCCATCCTCCTTTCTTACCCTGGGATCAGAGGCCACGGCTCCATTAGAGGCCACACCCCCATTGCCCACAACGGCCCGGTCACGACTCTGCTGGGGCCTCAGGGCCTCCACAGCAGACTCTGTGTTGGACGCCTCTTTCCAGGGGTCCTCTCTGGAGGACCTGGAGCTGACATTGTGGCTCTGCAGGGCCCTGGTTGCATTGAGCCCATAGGAGTTCTGCTCTTGCCTCTCTGAAGCTAGCTCCTGTAGAGCCTTAGCCAACCGTTGAGCTGGTGGCTGCACCTGGGTCATCTCTCTCATCTCTGCCTGGGACCAGTTGGTATTTTTTTCAGGCATCTCGAATAACTGCCTTCTAGGCGCTTTCTGGAGTATTTTCTTGCTTTGCTCTGTCAGTCTTCCTGGAGGAATCTGCTCAGGCAGCGGAGTGGCCAGCTCGGGAGGGGGGTCCTCGACAGAAACGCGTCGGGCAATCAGAGAGGACGGCAAGACGGCTGTGAGGACTCTAGTCACCCTCAGAGGAAAGGGGGCCTAAAACAAAAAGAGAGATTTACCCTGAATGACTGATTGACATGTATAGGCCTGCATATATGCATATATGAAGAGTTTATTTCCAAAACACTATATTCACTAGTTTTTCACATTTGTGTTTTTTCACTAGAAAGGATTGCTTATGGGTACCTTCATGTGTGTGTAAAATATTACTGTTCTCAGATTTTGTATTCATAGATTAAAAAACATTTTTTTTTGCAAAACTCTACACATCCATTGTTTAGCTGGAATGGAATGTTTGTATACTGTATATTTATCACAGTGCCTTCAGAAAGTATTCATACCCCTTGACTTATTCCACATTTTGTTGTGTTACAGCCTGAATTCAACATTGATTAAATTGATTGTTTTTCTCACCAATCTATACACAATAACCCATAATGACAAAGTGAAAACATGTTTTTAGAATTTTGTAAAATATTATTGAAAATGAAATACAGAAATATCTAATTTACATAAGTATTCACACCACTGAGTCAATACACGTTAGAATCATCTTTGGCAGCAATTACAGCTGTGAGTCATTTTGGGTAAGTCTCTAAGAGCTTTGCATACCAGGATTGTACAATATTTGCACATTATTCTTTAAAAACAATTCTTCAAGCTCTGTCAAGTTGGTTGTTGATCATTGCTAGACAGCCATTTTCAAGTCTTGCCATAGATTTTCAAGCCAAAACTGTGACTAGGCCACCCATGTCATCTTGGTAAGCAACTCCAGTGTATATTTGCCTTATAATTATACTTTTTTTGTCATTTTTACCCCTTTTTCTCCCCAATTGGTAGTAGTTACAGTCTTGTCCCATTGCTGCAACCCCCGTATGGACTTGGGAGAGGCGAAGGTTGAGAGCCATGCGTCCTCCAGAACACAACCCTGCCAAGCCGCACTGCTTGCTTAACCCAGAAGCCAGCCACACCAATGTGTTGGAGGAAACACCATACAACTGGCGACCGAAGTCAACGTGCATGTGCCGGCCCACCACAAGGAGTCGCTAGAGCGCGATGGGACAAGGACATCCCGGCCAGCCAAACCCTCCCCTAACCCGGAAGACACTGGGCCAATTGTACGCCGCCTCATGGGTCTGCCGGTCGCGGCCGGCTGCGACATAGCCCGGGATCGAACCCGGGTCTGTAGTGACACCTCTAGCAATGCAATGCAGTGCCTTAGACCGCTGCACCACTCGGGAGGCCCTTGTATATTTGACCTTGTGTTTTAGGTTACTGTCCTGCTTAAAGGTGCATTTGTCTCCCAGTGTCTGTTGAAAAGCAGACTGAACCAGGTTTTTCCTCTAGGATTTGTCCTGTGGTTAGCTCTATTCCATTTTTTTACCCCCCCCCCAAAAAAAAACTCCCTAGTCCTTGCCGATGACAAGCATACCCATAACATGATGCAGCCACCACCATGCTTGAAAATATGAAGAGTGGTACTCAGTGATGTGTTGTGTTGGATTTGCCCCAAACATAACGCTTTATATTCAGGAAAGAAAGTTAATTTTTTGCAGTTTTCCTTTAGAGCAAATATTTATTCCTGAACGTATTTAGGCTTGCCATAACAAAGGGGTTGAATACTTATTGACTCATGACATTTTAGCTTTACATTTTTAATTATTTTGTTAACATTTCTAAAAACATTATTCCACTTATGGGTTATTGTGTGTAGGCCAGTGACACAAAATCTCAGGCTGTAACACAACAAAATGTGGAAAAAGTAAAGGGGTGTTAATACTTTCCGAAGGCACTGTATGTGGTTGTCTCACCTAGCTATCTTAAAATCAATGCATTAACTGTAAGTCGCTCTGGATAAGAGAATCTGCTAAATAACTAAAATGTCAAATGTAAATGTTTTACACACAGATCTCATATTATTAATAAAACATTTTTTTTAAATTTTCTGTGGATATATACCGTCTTGGAATAAACTCTTCATATTTGCATACAGTATATTTACACTGAGTATACAAAACATTAAGAACACTTGCTCTTTCCATGACATAGACTGACCAGGTGAATTCAGGTGAAAGCTATGATCCCTTATTGATGTCACCTGTTAAATCCACTTCAGTCAGTGTAAATGAAGGGGAGGAGACAGGTTAAAGAAGGATGTTAAGCCTTGAGACAATTGAGACATGGATTGTGTATGTGTGCCATTCAGAGGGTGAATGGGCAAGACAAAATGTAAGTGCCTTTGAACGGGGTATGATAGTAGGTGCCAGGCGCACCAGTTTGTGTCAAGAACTACAACGCTGCTGGGTTTTTCCCACTCAACAGTTTTCCGTGTGTATCAAGAATGGTCCACCACTCAAAGGACATCCAGCCAACTTGACACAACTGTGGGAAGCATTGGAGTCAACATAGGCCAGCATCCCTGTGGAATGTTTTCGACACCTTGTAGAGCCAATTCCCAGATGAATTGAGGCTGTTCTGAGGGCAAATGGGGGGAGTACTACTCAATATCAGGAAGTTGTTCCTTAATGTTTGGTATACTTAGTGTACTGTATATATCCATACAATGTTGGATCATAGGTTTACATACATGGATCATATATAAGTCCATTACACACTAATCCTCATAGAACCAACCTCTTCTTTCGGTTCTGAACTTTGATACTGAGTTTGGGTCGTGGGACCGGACATGGGCGGTTTCCTCCGACTGGCTACCCTTTCCTGGTGTCTCCTCATCCTCTCAATCTGCTCCTCTTCACTCATCCTCCCCTTCTGAGGAAACAATTATGCTTTAGTACAACGTGTATGACTCCAATGCACAGAATGAATGGAAGTAATGGTTGTCGTGTGTGCAAAAATGGACTGGTCGCCGGAATGACTGAGAATGCCAGAGAATGCCAGAGCATGCATCAGTAATAGGGCAAATAAAAAATATGTGATATTGTGTGTGTGTGAGAGGGAGAGCGAGAGAGAAAGAGAGAGAGAGAGAGAGAGAGAGAGAGAAGAGAGGAGAGGAGAGATGAGGAGAGGAGAGAGAGAGAGAGAGGAGAGAGAGAGAAGAGGAGGAGAGGAGAGAGAAGAGTATGAGAGACAGAGAGAGAGAGAAGAAGAGGAGCGATGAGAGAGAGAGAGAGAGAGAGAGAGAGAGAGAGAGAGTGAGAGAGAGAAGAGACAGACAGAGAAGGAGAAGAAAAGAGGAAGAGGAGAATAGGGTGACTGTAAGGGAGCCGTGTGAGCCGTGTGTCTCTGCTTCCCTCTGTTGACTGTAAGGGATATTGCAACATGCCCTAATTGTGAAGAATCTGATCAAGACAACCACAAAGTAATAAAATTGTATTTTAAACCTAACCTTAACCATAAGGTTTAAAATCATGGTGCTTGCAACACCAGGGTTGTGGGTTTAATTCCTAGTATGGAATAGTATGAAAAATGTATGCACTCACTACTGTAAGTCATTCTGAATAAGAGCATCTGCTAAATGACTCAAATGTAAATGTAAACCTTAACCACACTACTAACCGTAATGCCTAACCCTAACCTTAAATGAAGACTAAAAAGCTCTTTTTTTCATGAATTTTTTGATATAGCCCATTTTGACTTTGCAGCTGGCCCATCTAGCGGAAACCACCCAGTCCTACCTACAGGCAAGACTCATGACAATAAATGTCAACTTGCTAAAAGAAAATGCATTTGGCTTTGATTTAAAGGAAATATATCTGTCAGTTACTGTATTTGTATTCCATCAAGTGATTTGCATTTGAAAAAGTTGCAAATGGTGGAGACGTAGATTAATTACACAATCTTACTTTATTTGTGGTGTCTGCTGTGGACCATCTTGAACTAGACTGAGATTCTGTGTTTGACAGAGATAGAGGGAGAGAGGGAAAAGGAGTATATAAGAAAGAGTAATTGATAACGTGAAGAAAACCTGACAAGGAAAATACAGTACAATGTACCACCATCAGAAGGGACGATTGTCTTCAAGACAATTACATGATCAGTAAGTCTATGCTGCTGTTTGCCATAGTTATACCATACCGGTACACTCTTAGAAAAAAGGGTTCCAAAAGGGTTCTTCGGCAGTCCCCATAGGAGAACACTTTTTGGTTCTAGGTAGCACCCCTCTGTGGAAATAGTTCTACATAGAACCCAAAAGGGTTCTACCTGAAACCAAAAAGGGTTACGACTACCAGGGTTATTCAAAGGGTTCTCCCTATGGGGACAGCCGAATAACCTTTTAAAGTTCTAGATAGCACCTTTTTTTCTAAGAGTGTAGGTATGGTAGTTAAAGTATAGACATAGACATAGTCATAAACTCCATATCATACTAGCTACCTGATGTCTCTCTCTGTGTCCTGTCACCATGGAGATCAGACTGGCTGTTTCCTCTTCTGTCCAATGGATCTACTGGGCCACTGTAGATGCCCTGGAGTACATACACAGGGATCATGGATGCAACAGAGATGTTTACTGTGTCATTGTTGAGAATTCAGAGTGTTATTAGCAGTATGGTTGCGTCCTGATCCTCTACCCTTCTCCCAAAGTGTGCGCATGCACCCTAGGTGTCATGGATTTAAGAATTGGTGTAAGCATTAGCTGGAGGGAGTTTCCACTATTGCTTAATCTACAAAATGGAGTGAAAGTGCACAATTTGGGACAAGGGTAGAAAATCAGGGTGCAACCAATGTCTCTCTATACTCACCTCATAGTTCGGATCCATCCACACATGCCCCTGGTCTCTTCCCTGATTGGTGTCTTGGAGCTCCTGAGGTAAAGGGGGGCGGGCTGGAGGCTCTGATTCCACCTCCTGACGAAATCATAAACATCATTAACCAATCAAAGCTTATTGTTCGGTATCATTACACCAACAGCACCCTTATAAGAACATTGAATTATATGCCTTATCCAATATTCCTTTGGATATATTGACATCGAGCAGAGACCCCACTCTGAACTGGTATCATTCCACAGCACTATAGTAACCTACTAGGGCACTGGTATTGTATTATGGTAGTCGTACCATTGGCAATCCACTCGGCATCCTCTCTGTTGGAGATCCAGGTGTCCCCGGGTGGGAGGATGACTTCTGGAATACTCCTGTGGGAACTTAGAAAAGACACACAAGAGGTGAAGAGAATAAGTTGATACACTGTATCTCTATATATCTGCCTCTGGTTGTTCCCATTTTCAATGTGTACATACCCTATTCATTCCTAAGCATAAGTAATATGAACAAATGTTCAGACATAGTATGAGTGTTTCTGACAGTTACCTGTGTGCCTCTGCAAGCCCAGCAGGACCCTGAAGTTATCCCTGTTGACCCTGAGTCCAGAGAGGATGTCGTCCATCATCCACAGCTCTCTCTGGGCCTGGGACTGCTCCTGAGGAGGGACGGGTGAGAGGAACTTTGGTTTTCCTACACAATTTTACATGACCCATGGCCCTTCTAACCAGTTACTTTTAGAATAACAAAAACAAGCAAAAATGGCCACATTCATCAAGCTAGGTAAGAGCATGTTTAATATTAATAATTTTGATGATTGATGAAAGACCGAACTAGGTCAAAGGTAGTTCAAAGGCCGACTCAATTCTAAGTAACTTCAAACCAAGTCTTTGAGTTGATTTGGTCATGCAACTTTGAACATGGTGAACTTGCCCCTATCTTGTCCCCAAGTTAGCCGTGGCTTTTGAAACAAAACAAAACCGTGGATGACAGTTTTTTCCTGGCCCCATAGACTTCTTTCAGGGTACATGGAAAAATAGAAGTCCAAAAAAGTGCAGATAACTTTGTATTTGGTCCCCTCAAAACACCCATTGAAACCCCTTAGCCCTGGAACAACATTTAAGCTAGTTTCATACCCTCAGCATATCATCAAAGAATGAGCTCAGAACAGGAGCTACACAGGCCTTTATCTGAAGGAGGAGTTCTTGGCTGATTCATGTGATTTAGACTGCATTTTGTGATGACATTGGTCTATCAGGTTTAACAAGCACCTGTATTAGGGCTTTGATTGATAACCACTTTTTAGGGATGGTGAGAGCCAGATGTGGCAGACCGTTACAATGCTGCAATACAGTACATTCCTCTGAATACTAAGCATTTGCTGTTTTATATTACTATCCTATTAACACATATTTGTTTTATGATAGTGATAACATGGACCATCACACTATTTTACTGTCTATTTAAGGACACATGGGGGTATCTGAAACAGTGTGTAAAAACCTTTGTTTCTGGCCTTATAAATAACACAAATATCTGTCTAATCAGGTAATGCCAAATTGCAGTCGGAATGAAGTATGCTTTGAAGTGATTGAAATGCATCTGACAGGTATTGGAAAGTTCAGGAAAGAAGAAGGAAGATCATCAGGAAATCATTGTGTATTTCATCTTTCTTAGAACAGAAGATCAATACATATTCTACATTTTTTGGTTTTAAAGCATGCTGGCGGTGCTTTTTGTATCACTATGAAATAATACAACTGGACTGGGACAAAAATTCAATTTCAGAATGTTGGGCGGACCGTCGTCCCCGTCCCCGTCCCTAGTAAAAGTTCTGCCCCTGACAGGAATATACCTTATGTGGGTGAAACCGACCATTATGGGTATGGGAAACATTTAATGAGTTGCAGTGTACTAAATCCAATTAAAGAACATTCTATTAAAATAAATGTTGTGAGAGAACAAGACAATCTGTGAAGTGTGATAAAACTGAGGAGTTTATACTTGTGGCATCCCGAAATTACAGACGTGCTGCAGGTGTGATCGGAACACAGACAGCTCACTCTCCATCCTCTCATACTGGCTCCACACTCTATCCATTTCCTGTACCAAAAAGTAAACAAATATATTTCAATTAGGGATTAAGAAATCAAGTTTAGGTTCATAATATGATCTTGCTGATATGGATATCAATGCATTATTGTTCAACACTAATACATCATACAATCATAAACAATTAGTAAAAAAAAGGTAGCAGTTCCATCACCAATGAGACGTCACACATCCTTGCTCGGATAGTGACCAGTTCTTCCTGGAGCAAAGCCTTCTGGGTGAGTGCTCCTTCCTGTCCTCGGAGTCCTTGGTTCCTCCACTCGTCCAGTTGCAGCCTGGTCATCTCTAAGGTGCACTGGACACTGTCCTATAAGAGAGGGAAAAAGTTTACCCAATACTCTGTACACCATCGTAATACAGGAAAGGATTGTAGAAGCTTCCAAAGGTAGAAGTTTGCGGAGCTACAATAGGTGCTATAATGGAAAATGTCACCAGATTAAGCCATTGACTACACAGTCAATAAAGTCAAGACAAAGTTTGTGTGAAGTGTTGAGTGAATAACAACAATATTCACTATTGTTGTATAGTAGAAAAGTGAGAACAATGTGTATGCTATGGAAAGGAAACTGTAAGCTGAAGGTACGGACCTTGTCAACTTGTAGATGGGCCAGCTCTAGAGAGAGAGACTGGAGAAGCTTGTCACAACCACAAAGTCTAGTCAGCACAGCCTAACACAATAAAAAAAAAAACAGTTAAACAATCAAACACAGTTCAATATGGAGGGGGAGTGCTGAGGAATATTTTTTTACAACGGGATGGGGGGGTGCTGACAATTATTTATCTACTAATACAGGAGTAATAAAGGCCTAGTTTACACAGTTTGTGGACATTAATTTTTTTCTAGTTTAATTATTCGTTTTTATTGTAAAAAAGTATCACCCTCAGCACCCCTTCTCCCCGCGGCTATGGTTCAATTAGTGAAAAAATAAAATATAGAAAACGTTGAAACAATAAGAAGGATATATTGACTGCATTTCATTAAATGGCACAAATACAAATATTCTTACATCTGTTTCACTCTCAAGAGGTCTGACGGGTGGTGGCGTCTCTCTCTCTTTGAACTGCTCGGACTTGGCAGGCTGTAAGCAGAGAGTTCATGACAGCTCATGATCTAACCAATTAGATTTTCATACTGGTTTTGATACACTTCCTCCTATAACTCAAATAAAATCCCAAATCGCACATGGTATCACGTACGAGTTCCTTGTGAATAATGGAATGTATGCGTGTACATTAGAAAGTGTACCCAAATGTGCTACAGCCCAGCTTGAATAAAAGGGAATCAGGTGATCGACTAGGACACTTCCTTGGGTAAAGAATATCCTTGTATGTGTGTACATGTGTGGGCCCCGTGTAGCTCAGTTGGTAGAGCATGGCGCTTGCAACGCCAGGGTTGTGGGTTCGTTTCCCACGGGGGGCGAGTATAAAAAATGTAATAAAAAAATAAAAAGAATATGTATGCACTCACTAACTGTAAGTCGCTCTGGATAAGAGCGTCTGCTAAATTACTAAAATGTACGTGTTTGGGTTTTGAATCAGTTTTCTTGAGTGAGTATTTTCTTTTTGTATTTTGTTGAGCCATCGTCTCGTGAAGCTACACAAAACATCTAAATATTTTTGAGACAAGATATACGTTCAGATACAGTATGTCTCTAAGTTCAATTATTATGAAATGAGTTTGCCCATGAACTCTACAGTCGTTGATACATGCTTTATAGTGCATGAAAAAACAAAGGTTGTATAGTTACTGCCATTATTCTACTTTGCAGAAATGTAATTGTGTTGAAACATAACCTTTGACCTCAACAGAGTGTAGTAGGCAATTCATTTCATAATCACCAACATCACATTGATTTGAACATACTGAAGCTACAACAGCCTCATGTTGCCAATACCGTAGCTAGCTACATGTCGCATAAACAACAGAAAACACATAATTGTCAAACAATGTATATGACAAACAAAGATAGAAAAAATAGAAAAATGCAGAACACAAAGGCTATCACTAGACAAGACAGTTTACAGTTATAGCACTCACTCGACAGTAGCTAGACAACAACAAACAGGACGGACAGAAGGCAAACATCTCTCTAGGATGCTAGCTGTTCCATAGACCTCCAGTCATTGCACTAACGTAAATTAGCAATTGCGCAAACTCTAGATAGCAACTTCCTTCAAACTGCACACAGAGACATAAAAATGGTATCCACTAGTTCATCTATCCCTTTAATAGTACTGAACATGTAAGTGTTCCCCTAAATATGTGGAAGTCAAGTGTCATTATTTGTATAACTTGTCAGCAGTGCAGGTACTAAGTTACAAGTCCATGGTATATTGTAATCTGAAGTGCTACAGACAAAACACAACATTAACAAGTAACAACATAAAAAGCTAGTCAAACACAGACCACAGACTGACGGGTTGTACCATAGGTGGCGGAAGCAGACAGACAGACATATGGCTGCGATGGTGATGGTGGTGGTGATGGTGGTGGTGTGGGGGGTGAGGAGCATGGGGAACTCTTGAAGATGGGGGCAAAGGGGGTAATAAGTCTGTTTGCCCCCTTGTGGAGTAGCTCTGAATAGAGAAACAGGGCAAAAAGATATACAATACAATACGTAATTAAGAATGTAGAGATATACAGGTAATATGCAATAACATGGCTTATTATAGAAGGTCCCACATGCTAATAATGATGGTTATACAATTAAGTTATACAATTAAGTTATACAATTATTTTCCTATAAATACACTATGATAAATTATGTTATTACAATTACATACTGTAGGTATGTATTAACTTTCTGTGTACAGACAGTGGATATTCTTTGTTGATGTATACTGTATATAAGGAGATTATGCTCTGTTGTGCAAATTCTTTGTATATTCACACTGTACTGTACCTTTCCTAAAGCTCTTCGTCCACTTGGAATATGGTGGAGGGAGGAATATACAGGCGTGGGCTAGGGGAAAAAAGCAACATGAAGATTGAGATAATGAAATAATTAAAAACCCAACCTTAATCCCAACCTTAATTAACTTCCTATTTAAATATATTATCTTGTCTACATTTTAGTTTTACCTTGTCACAATAATACACCACATACTCATGAATCCTTCTATTATTTGAGTCTCTACCCAGCATCTAAACATTTATAAGTATTGTCATAGAATCGTATCCGCCTCACTCTGTTGATTGTTTGCCATCTCTCAGTCCCTGGAGTGTGGGGGGCGGACTTAAACTCCAGCTTGGGAGATGCAGGGGCATAACACAGGTTCTGTGGCATCATGGGAGGATCATCCTGGGGTCGAATGTCAACCCGCCCCACTGGTGTGTGGGGTCGCGATCCCAATTGACCTCTGGGGGTCAAAGAACCGGTCCCCATAAATTCTGTGAGCCTGGGTGGTGTGTTAGGACCAGAATGGAAGGGGAGGAAATCCTCATCTGTCCTTCTGCTGCTAAACTCTATTGGGCTGGGTGTTCTGGGCGATGGGCTAAGTATACAAGAGAGAAAATAGCACAGAATGCCAAAGTCACCACCCCTCTAAGACAATTCCCCCAAAATAACTGTGTGACTTTCTAAATGTGATTGGTGACAGAGATAGTGACAGATGCCAAAGTCCTCCTATTCTACCTTCGTCGCACGCTCCGCCTCCCTCTTGGTTCCGAATGTGGTGTCCTCATTCTCCCCCTGGTGACCTGACTTTGTTTCATCTGTGATGTGTTGGTGTGCGCAGCATTTTCGGGACCTCGGAGAGAGGAGGAATGAGGCAGATCCACAGACTCACTGCTGCCACCTATCTGCGTGAAGTCCTGATAACTCGAGCAACGCCTGAGAGAATGAGAAAAATGTATATACTTTTTTTTTAGCATTATGACTGGATTATATCCTCTTTATAATAAAATAAAATACAGTTCTAACTGAGTCCTATGTTATTATTATAATAATTATAATATAAAGGTTTTATTTAGGGAAATCCAAAGATGAAGAAGTGTTAAATAGAGCTTTACATATACCTGTTGATGGAGCTGTCTGCTTCCATACAGGCAGACTGGCTGAGTGCTCTGACCCAGCCTAGCATATCCTCCTGCGTGTCTGCACTGAAGAAGTAGGAGCGCATTCCCTGGTGCACCACCTAATATCATATTAATACATTAATTTACAGTATACACAAACCCATATACTGTGTATACAGTATAAACACATACATGTACTGAACATACGGTCAACATAGTGAAAAGTGGAACGTATACTTCGTTATTTACTTTGAAAGTATTTTTTCTGTTCTTGCATTCTCGCGGTGTGCAGAAGAGAATGTTGTAGCTAGGTAGTGGGATGCTACCCAAAACAGATTCTTCTCTACTGTCTGGAAGAGAAAGAGTTGACGGAGAAAACAAGATGAGAGAAGCTAGAGAAAACTGCACTATTTATGTACGGTACACACAACAACAATATTTTTGCTTGCCTTTGTAGTAGAATAAACAGTAGTTAGACAGGACAAACCATCTTCTTTTCCACAGTTTCAGTCCAGAGCTGTCCTACATGGGGCAAAGCATTTATAAGAATTATAAGCTTTAAAATTCATAAGCATTTATGACAAGTATAATCATGTATGAAGCAGTTATAAGCATTAATAAACATTTACAAGCATTAATGGCTTATTCATGTTACCGAAAGTATTACATCCACATTCAATACAAAGCCTGTTTAATTGCTACCTTGCAGTGATCAAAACATGATATAGGATGTTATGTTTACTGAACAGTACCTTCTTATTGAGCCAACCTCTAATCACCACGGGGCAGTTGGGGTCTCTCTTAGCCGCCCTACATCTCTTCCCAAACGTTTGTACCCTGTCATCACCGTCCTGTAAGAGATTGAGAGAGGATCATTGATAACGGTGCTGATAAAATAACCTCAGTAAATGTTGATCTTCATGATGTTCGGTAGTGTCAATGAGCGTTGAGTTTGTTAAACAGAGACTAAGTAGAGGTGGTTCAGGACATGAGAGACAAACCTTGCTTCTGACAGGAAAAGAAGAGATTGTTACCACACTTGAGGCATGACTCATTCTGTCCTGGTCCTCCATTCTGTGAGAAAGATACAGAGAGAGAGAGAGAGAGAGAGAGAGAGAGAGAGAGAGAGAGAGAGAGAGAAAGAGAGAGAGAGAGAGAGAGAGAGAGACAGACAGACAGACAGACAGACAGACAGGACAGACAGACAGACAGACAGACAGACAGACAGACAGACAGACAGACAGACAGACAGACAGACAGACAGACAGACAGACAGACAGACAGACAGACAGACAGACAGACAGACAGACAGACAGACAGACAGACAGACAGAGAGAGAGAGACAGAGAGAGAGAGAGAGAGAGAGAGAGAGAGAGAGAGAGAGAGAGAGAGAGAGAGAGAGAGAGAGAGAGAGAGAGAGAGAGAGAGAGAGACAGACAGAGAGAGAGACAGAGAGAGAGAGAGAGAGAGAGAGAGAGAGAGACAGAGAGAGAGAGAGAGAGAGAGAGAGAGAGAGAGAGAGAGAGAGACAGACAGACAGACAGACAGACAGACAGACAGACAGACAGACAGACAGACAGACAGACAGACAGACAGACAGACAGACAGACAGACAGACAGACAGACAGACAGACAGACAGACAGACAGACAGACAGACAGAGAAGGAGAAGAAAAGAGGAAGAGGGTGAGGAGAGGTGATTGACATTGATTTGCCATGAAAGAATGATAAGGTGATGCCAAAGAGTACATGTAGAGTATTGTTGGATCTAGGGACAAGAAGATTGGTATTCAAAACAAGGGATACAGATCTGAACCTTTTTAAATAATCTACAAATACTTCGATCAGGAGATCAATCAGGACAAAACAAACTCACAAGGGGCAAGGGGCCCACATCAGGACCTGTCCAGGGCCTTCTTGTATAGACATGATGACCAATAAGGGCTCTCCTTTCTAATCAAAACCCTAGGCCAATAGGAGTCATACTTCTTTGTGTAGTCCTTTGTGTAGCCTGTTGTGCAATGGATCCACATTTGTAGAGTACAGCTAACGGTTTTCAAGTCAATGTACAAATTTGAAGTACGCAATTTATCTGCAAAACTCAACAAGGTAAATAGTCAGGAATGTATCACGGCAACTTCATGCTAAAATAGGTCTCTTCCCAAAAAAACGGTATATTTACAGTAACTCATTTTACATAGTCAATACATGTATATGTTGTTCTCTTTACTAACTAATAACAGCAAGAGGCCCATAATGGTTTGTACTACACAGCTGTTGAACAAATATTCCTTGCTTTTCTATGAAGAGCTGAAGATACCAAGCAAGCACAAACACTGGTAAGTAACAAATCAACAGCTATAGTCAATGGCGATAAGTAGGCCTAAACTTGATTCTCAACAACAACAAGTGTACTCAACAGGCCTTGCCTCACCAGACCCAACCAATATTACCAATACACTACTGAATACAACTATACAACTGTACAAACCAAGCTGTGTGTTGCTCCCGTCCAATTAAATCCCATCAAAACCACAATGTAATTCGCTACCAAGTACAAAATGTAAAAAGTCACAAACACATATCCATACCGAATGGTTTTCCGCTGTCTGTTCCTTAAGAAGGGGGTACCGTAGTGTACTTGCCCGCCCCTTTCCCCCAACTCTCTCTCACACAGAGTTCTATTCTGAGCCCTCACAGGCCCTACCGTCCCATGGTGAAACTGACAGGTGACAGCTGCTTAGCCATGGTAGCAGGTGGGGGTCTGGGAGTGTGTGAAAATCAATCTGGCGCAGAAGGCAAAGATGGTATGCGAGACATGCGAGCGGAACGCAAAGCGGCAGACTAGACTGCACTGCTGAGGAGGACAGAAAAAGGGAAAATAAAAAAGGGTGGACAGGGGGATGGGGTAACATATCGAAGGCAAGGAAGCAGGAAGGGATGAAGTCATTGAAAATCCATCAGTTTTGTGTGTGTTTTGTTTTGTCACTGTTACTGAATCCTGTTACGGGCTAGAAAGCTCCATAGCTACAGCTGTGCACAATAAAAGCTAGCAAAGAGGAAGATTCATGAGTCGTGGGAGCCCCAGTGATTCTGAATGGTAACATTATTAATCTACGCGACTATCAACAAACCACAAATAAGCGAGACATGGAGTAAGAGAAGACATCAACAAACCATTGTCAGGGATGATGGTCCTAGCCAACAAGGGGTTATGTGGGTGTAGTGAAATATTTGGAGAATCTCCTTCTGAACTAGTGGGGTCGCTCGCTAGCTTGGGGAACATAAACTGAAAATGCTAAAGAGCGCTAGCGAAGACAAACGGCGTGTTTGTGTACCACACAAAGTGGGCTTTGTAGCCTAGCGCTCAAGGAGCCGGGAGCATCATGAGAAGGCCGACAATGAGCATGTTGAATAAATCACACAGGGAAATCATCTCTTTCCATCTACACACAGATCTCACTAACGAAGACACTTGTATGCTGACAGAGTTCACCAAAGTCAGAAAATCATAACCTTCAACACTCACACACTAGTGATGACGTGAGCCACCCTCTTACCTTATGAAGATTTTATAATGACCTTATTACCGGTAATGAGAAAAAAATGGCTTTGGATGGCACCATAGTGTAGTATGAATCTGAAGCCTATCAAACAACTAGTTTATGGCTAAACACAACTGTTACATATCAAGTGTTATTCAGCTTTGCTTAAAATAAGTTCAGTACCATGGTTTCAAATTTCAACCACAAACAATGGGTCATGTAAGGCCAACTGTACAGTACAGTATAACATTTCAAAACCTAGATGACCTTACTGGGAATTCATACAGAGTATGGATTACTTTATAATAATACCAGTAGGAAATGTATTGGAACACAATATCAATACAGTAAGGGCATTGTAGATCAACCAGTGAATCACATGATTTACTGAGAAAATGTCAAAAATCATGAGGACCTGTTTAGTAAACCAATGGATATATAATAAATAAGGATAGGTATTATCTGTCTAATCGACTGTTTATTATTTATCTGTTGATATTACAACTACTAATTTCCCACAATTAATTATGGACTGTGACCTTTTACCAAAATATCAATATGTTAATTAATAATAATAAAAGTTCATTTGGGTACATTTTATGTTTGTATTTTACATTTCTATAGTAAAGAAGCACCATACAACTGCTTTTGAAATTGGACTGAATTAAATATGACTAATCCGTTTTTTTGTTTGTTGGTAAAATTAAACATTGTTCTCAACATACAATCTTATATTAATTTCTCAATGAATCATAAAGATGCCATATTGCTGTACCTGACCAATCGCGTCTGCCTGCTGGCTTTCCCAACCACCATTACTTGGCTCTAGTCCTGAGTCCTCACAGCATCTTCCCAGGGTTGGCTGCTCTGTCCTGGCTATCACAATCGCCTGTTGCCCCTTCAGTCAAAACACTATCCTACTCTACTGTTCTTCAATATCCTAATCTCTCTTTCCATCTCTATCCCTCATTTTCTTCTGTACTAGGTTTATCTGCACAATTTGTTCGGCAATCTACCTACGCTGTCCATTGACACTCAATCTGCCTTTCTTCCTTCTAACAGTGGGCTCTCTGTGTGCTCCCTCTTCCCTTTCCTCCCTTCCTCCCTGCCCTTGGCAGTCTCTCTGTTTCGCTGAGTGTGGGATTGTGACTTAGGCATTTAAAAAAAAAAAAAAACAGCTGTCCTCTCTCTTTCTTCCTCTCTGCCCTCCGTGACATTTTATTGCTATTCCCCATGTCACGCCCTGACTCAAGGGACGTTTATTTGTTGAGTCAGGATGTGTATATTCCGTGTTGTGTTTGTTCATTGTTATAGAATCTATGATGTGTAGATCTATGTTGGCCGGGGTGGTTCCCAATCAGAGGCAGCTGTAGCTCGTTGTCTCTGATTGGGGACCATACTTAGGCAGCCTTTTGGCACGAGTTAGTTGTGGGATCTTGTTCCGTGTAAGGTATGTTGTTTGTATGCTACCTTGGACTTCACGTTTCGTTTGTTGTTTTGTTGTGTGTTTAGCCGTAAATAAATATGAATGCATATCACGCTGCACCTTGGTCCTTCTCGTCCGTAAACGATCGTGACAGAAGATCCCACCAATCCTGGATCAAGCAGCGTGACGAGGAGAGAGGATGGACTTGGGAGGAGATGAGCGAGAGTCTGGCAAGAGGGATGGAGGCCATGATCACGGGGGAGAGACAAGCCCAAAAAATTTTAGGGGGGGGCTCACGCCGTGGACGACGAGGCAGCAGGAGGCCGCGATAGAGCGGTTCAGCTGTTTAGCAGAGGAGGCCACCAGATTAGGGGGGTCATTGGTTCAGAGGGAGCAGAAGGAAAGTGTAGAGGCACGGCGAGAGGAGCTGGTTAGTGCGTGTCGCCAGTCCAGTCCGGCCCGTTACTGATTCCCGCACTAAGCCAGTGGTGGGTGTTCCCAGTACGGTTCGGCCCGTTCCTGCTCCTCGCATCAAGCCAGTGGTGCGCATCGCCAGCCCGGTCCGGCCTGTTCCTGTCCCTCGCACCAAGTCAGTGGTGCACGTCGCCAGCCCGGTCCGGCCTGTTCCTGTCCCTCGCACCAAGTCAGTGGTGCGCGTCGTCAGCCCAGTCCGGCCCGTTCCTGTCCCTCGCACCAAGCCAGTGGTGCGCGTCGCCAGCCCGGCCCGGCCTGTTCCTGCTCCCCGCACCAGGACAGTGGTGCGCGTCGCCAGTCCGGTACGGCCCGTTCCTGCTCCCTGCACCAAGCCAGTGGGGCGCATCGTCAGCCCAGTCCGGCCCGTTCCTGCTCCCCGCACCAGGCCAGTGGTGCGCGTCGCCAGTCCGGTACGGCCTGCTCCCCGCACCAAGCCAGTGGTGCGCGTCGTCTGCCCAGTCCGGCCCGTTCCTGCTCCCCACACCAAGCCAGGGGTGCGCGTCGTCAGCCCAGTCCGGCCCGTTCCTGCTCCCAGCACCAAGCCAGTGGTGCGTGTGTCCAGTCCGGCACGGCCCATGCCTGTTCCACCGGTGCCTGGTCCGGCACCGGTCAGCTGCTCCACTCCGGAGCCAGAGCAATCCGCTCCACCGGGGTCCAGTCCAGCTCAGACCAGCGGCTCCACTCCGGACCCAGAGCAGTCCGCTCCACCGGTGCCTGATCCAGTTCCGGTCAGCGGCTCCACCCCGGAGCCAGAGCAGTTCGATCCACCGTCGTCGGGTCCAGCTCCAGTCAGCGGTTCCAGTCCAGACCCAGACGTCAGCCCCTCTCCAGACGTCTCCCACACCAGGGTCCAGACAGGGCTTGGTACTTCGTGGGAGGAAGGAGAGGGGAAGCAGCGCGCCGAGGTCCAGACCATACAAGGGGCGCAACGGGGAGGTGGAGAGTAAGTGGTGGTCACACCCGGAGCCGGATCCGCCGCCGAGGCGGAATGCCCACCCGGCCCCTACCCTGTTATGTTTATGTGGCGCGGTCGGAGTCCGCACCTTTGGGGGGGGGGGGGGGGGGTACTGTCACGCCCTGACTCAAGGGACGTTTATTTGTTGAGTCAGGATGTGTATATTCTGTGTTGTGTTTGTTCATTGTTATAGAATCTATGATGTGTAGATCTATGTTGGCCGGGGTGGATCCCAATCAGAGGCAGCTGTAGCTCGTTGTCTCTGATTGGGGACCATCTTAGGCAGCCTTTTGGCACGAGTTAGTTGTGGGATCTTGTTCCGTGTAAGGTATGTTGTTTGTATGCTACCTTGGACTTCACGTTTCGTTTGTTGTTTTGTCGTGTGTTTAGCCGTAAATAAATATGAATGCATATCACGCTGCACCTTGGTCCTTCTCGTCCGTAAACGATCGTGACACCCCAGTTGATCAGAATCTAGGTTTGTGCCGAGGAACTAGGGACACTGGTGTGCACACTGTTAAAATGAAGTGTTTTGTAACACTAAAACTAGAGGCAACTGAGCTGCCGCCAATGTTAAGGAGACAAAATCTTAACTTTGCTGTTTTGAAACACATCGGTGTAAGGGGTTATGAGACAGATTTAAGGTGTACTGAAACTTGACATGGTGTGTTGTAACAACACTTAATCAAGAGTTGTGCAACACCTTGCAGAAGACCGGGAGCACAGACCCGGAAAAGGTTGAAAACGCTATTATGGTATTTTGAGTCCTGTTTAATGCAGAATTAGATCCCTTCTCTTTTGATGTCGTTTCCTCACTAAAGCACCTAAAACCCTTCTTCTGGAGTTTCCAAATACTGTACATGGGAGTCTCTTTTTGTATATCCCCTGCTCTTATATGGTGTGCTGTTAAACTCCTCATTGGTAATTCCAAAAGGTCAAATGTACAATATTATATTCAAACAAAGGATACAAGAAAATATAGATTTGTGAAAATACAAATTCATACGTTTGTCCAGCATAATAATGAATGAGTACAAAATTACTTTTTCAAGACATTACTTTTTCAAATACTTTATACTTTCTTTGCAAATTATCAAATTACAACAAAACATTAACAGGTCTTTCACATTTTTATATTGATAAAGACGGTTCAAAAATATGTTAAACATTTATCATATTCACATTCTTTAAAATCAAGGGAAATATAACAATTAAAAGGTGCTTACATCTGTCCTATTTCACACATGTAAGCACCTTTTAATTGTTATATTTCCCTTGATTTTAAAGAATGTGAATATGATAAAT